CCTGTCTCTTGCCCTCTCCTAAAGGGCAGCCCACCTTATTTGATTGCAAATTCCTGTCCTACTGTGTCTTACACCCCACCTCCTATAGAATGTAAGCTCAATTGAGCAGGGTCCTCTTCAATCTATTGTTCCTGTAAGTTTATTTGTAATTGTCCTATTTATAGTTAAATCCCCTTTCATAATATTGTAAAGCGCTACAGAATCTGTTGGCGCTATATAAATGGCAATAATAAATAAATAAATAAATAAATAAATAAATAAATAAATGTGTCACCTTGAACTAGGATAGTCAGAAACAGATTGAAGGTTGGGCTGCTGTGGAGTATTAGAGTTCAGGTTACAAGCCAGTGTCCAGGTAGTTATTAAACAAATTCAGTAACAAGAAAGCCAAAAAGCAAGATAGGTGTGAGGAACGGTGATTTTATTGTATGGGTGCTATAGAATGTCCAAGTACTTTCTGGCCTGGGAGCAGAAATGAAACGTTGTGTCTGCTCTGCCTGCAATCAGAGTTCCAAAGTGTAATTGTGGGCTTCGGGGTGCCCATTGAGCAGGTCCGTGCAGATGCTGTGACCTGTGTTATTGAGGTTTTCCAATGAGGAAGCCCAGGAAGGTGAAACGCATTAAGTGTGGTATTGGAAGGATTTTTACTCTTATTTCCAATTGCTTTATATATATATATATATATATATATTATACCTTTTTAAAATGTATTAATAAAGTATTTTTATTTATAAGAGTTCATTTTTATTATTTTATCATTGAATACCTGTCATCATACTTCCTGATTTATCCTGCATATCCCAGGTGGGGATAATACCACCAATGCGCTCTATACCAGAGCAGGTCATTGCTCTGCATATTGTAAGTAGGATACCACTTATTTACTACCTATCTTGTGTATAGATATACTACACCATAAGTCATCTCTCTGCTTTATTTTCTCCATATATTTTGGACGGCAAGTACAACAGAGCTACATATATCCAGGGGTCAAGTCCTGGGGGAAAAAGTGTGGAAACTCCCCCAAGACCACCCCCCTAAAAAAAGTATATGCTCGTATGTATATATATATAGCTGGGTGAAGGGGTGACAGTGTGTGGAGGCTGAAAGTAATTGGGGATGGTGATATTGTATGGAGAGGGTGTCAGTGTGTGTATGGGGATGATAGAGTGTCTGTGTGGGTGACAGTGTGTGTTTGTGGGAGGGTGACAGGGTGCGTGTATGGGGAGGGTGACAGGGTGCATGTATTGGGGGAGTGACGGTGTGTGTGTGGAGAGGTGACAGGGTATGTGAGGGGGCTGTGACAGGGTTTGTGTAGGAAGGCTGTGAGAGGGTAGGGAGACTGTGAGGTGGGTAGGGGGGTCTGTTAGTGGGTATGGGGACTGTATGGGTAGGGGATCTGTATGGTGGGTAAGGGGGTTGTAAGGTGGGTAGGGGGACTGTGAGTTGGTAGGCAGACTGTGAGTGGGTAGGGGGAGTGTGAGGTTGGTAGGGGGGTAGTGAAGTAGGTAGGGAGGCTCACTGACAGACAGACACACACACTCACAGACACACACTGACAGATATACACACACAGACTCACTGACAGCCAGACACACACACACACATCACACATACACACACACATTTCCCCCAAACACTCACAGATTATTTTTTAAAATCCGCCCAGCCTCCCTACATTTGGGAGAGCTGGGTGGATTTTTTACCTGGGGTCCAGTGGGGCTGCTGGCCAGTCTGTGCGGGCAGGAAAGCAGGCTGGTGGTTAAACTCCAGGCCGGCGGTGAGGGAACGCTGATCTGTGAGCTCTCCCTGCTCCGGTTCCCGGCATCACTCTGCGGCGCGTGAGGGAGCTGAGCATGGAGAGCTCACAGAGCCTCGCGGGCAAACAAGTCCTGCAGGACCACAAACGGGAACGGCGTTCCTGCTGCAGAAAAAGTGCAGGAACGCCGTTCCCATGCATTCCTGCAGGACTTGAGCCCTGCATATATCCATAGATGGGGATTGTACCATCCAGGCAAATAACAGCAGAGCTCTTAGTAGCTCAGTAAAGTGTGAGTTGGCCCTTTACATACATCGATCTGATAAAGGCAGATGTAAATATATGTATTTATATTAACACAAAAGTGTTTTACATTTTTACACCCCTTTGGGCGCGGTTTGTCACTCTGTTTGTCACTATTTGAGGTTTTCCAGGCAACACTGTGAGTTACAGTCTTGTAAATCCATTGTGTCTACCATCCACAGGCCCGTCTTTAATAATGATTGGGCCCTGGGCAAGCATTTGATAGGGCCCCCTGACCCTAACTCCCTGGCATGCAATCACGATCTCCACTTCCCAACGCAGTAACGGAACCATTTCCCCATGCTTGCAGAGGTGTATTTAGCAGAGTTGTGTTTGTGTGTTTGAATGGAAGCATGTTTTTGTATGGAGTGTGTTTGTGTAAATGTAGGGGTGTGTTTGTAGGTGGTGTTGGTGTTTGAATGCAAGCATGCATCTATGTGTATTTTTTTTTTTTAATGCTGGGTGTGTTTATATATATTTTTGGTGTTTAACACAAAGATGTATTTGTATGTATTGTTGACGTTTCAATGCAGGACTGTGTTTGTATGTAGTGTTGAAGGTTGAATGCAGGGGTGTACTTGTGTGTAGTGTTGGCGATTTGAATGATGAGATGTACGTACATGTACACATACACTGCCACACATACACATTGTGATACACAAATACACACTGAAACACATGCAGATACACAGATATAAAAACTGACAGTCACACTAACACACAAGCAGATACAGACTGACACAGATACAAACACTATCACATACAGACACACAGATACACAACCTGACACACATACAGAGACAAATATACAAACAGTGACACATATGAATACTCAGACACACTGATACATATACTGACACACATGCAGATACACAGATAAAAACACTGACTACACACAGATATACACACGCAGGTACACACACTGACAACATACAGATACACAAATACATACAATGATAACTTACAGATACACACACTGACACACATACAGACACGCAGATACAAAACCTGAGACACATGCAAAGACACACAGATCACATAGAGAAACAGATATACATACTGACAGACAAAATGACACACTGACATATATACTGATACACACACAGACGCACACACACACACACACACAGACACCCTGACAGACATACTCACACACATACTTAGATACACACAGACATACTAAGACACACACAAATACTGACACACATGCGACGTTTACATTTTTACACATTGACAGGCATACTGACACAGTGACAGACAAACTGACATGCACACTCACAGACAAACTGACATGCACAGACAGACATACTGACACGCACAGACAAACTGACACGCACAGACAGACAAACTGACATGCACAGACATAAGCCCTGACAGACATACTAAGACACACATACACACACAGATTTACTGACACACACAGACATACTAAGACACACACAGACACCCTGACACACAAACACCCTGACAGACAAACTCACACACATACTAAGACACACACAGAAACCCTGACAAACTCACACACATACTAAGACACTCACACAAATACTGACACACACACATGCAAAGTTTACATTTATAAAGCCACCCTCCAGCCCTACCTTATGGGTTCCCTGGGGTCCAGCGGCAGGCTGAGGTCGTTGGGAGTGTGAGGCTCCTGCACTCCAGCTCCCTCCTGACGGCCTCCTCCTCCTTCCTCCCGCGCGGCTTCGTTCTATCTGGGAGGAAGTGACTCACGGTAGTCACTTCCTCCCAGCCTTCTGCAGTAAAACAAGGGGGCCAAAGTGCCGACCAGGGCCTCTTCGTGTGTGGGCTCCCGGTGCAGCCGGGACAGCGGGGCCCACGGGGTAGCTGCTTTGGGCCCCCCCAGGAGTAAGTGGGCCCGGGGCAGCTGCCCCGTTTGCCCCGCTTTAAAGACGGCCGTGACCATCCATGCTCATACTGTATCTAGATCGTGCACTCAGCATTTCGTTCTCACTGTTGTCAACTCATGACATTTTGTATATCTGCTCACTCTGTCTTATCCTTCCTCCAAACCTCCAAATGTTTACCTCATACTCTTACAGGGTTATTTACTAAATTGAATAATAAAATAATAATAATAAAAATTGAATCTGAAATAACCAAATTAGTAAAAATCCAAGTTTTTTTTTTTATTCTTTATTTTTGTGTGCAGCAGGGTATATCAGCCATATTAGCAAATCTAATGGCTAGAATAGAACTCACCTTTTGAGGCTTGCCTTGATGTGGCAGATGAGCTTATATATTCAAATGGCCATTGGAATAAAACTGAAGAGCCTCCATTTTCTTTAAATATACATAGGGATTTAGGCCAGAGCACATGTAACGTTCTCTTTGTTTTTACTATGTATTTTAAGCTGTTTGATACTAAGCTACTGCTGCTGTAAGCGCGGTGCTTTATCTTTGTGTTTGTATATGAATTTTGTATCACACAGCTATGTTACATTGCTGCCAGCCTCCCCACGTTTGTCTTATTAAGAGTTTATAAGTATGTAGGGGCAGCACCCCTTCCTGTCTCAACAGAGAAATTTGTCTTTTAGCTGATACCGGCAAGGTGAATTGTATCAGATAGGTGTAAAATGATTTGTATGTTTTATAGCCCTATTTAGTGTTACTAAGTATGTAGGGGTTTATAAAACACCCCTTCATGTCTCATTAGAGATGTTTACACTTTGTCTGATACCAGCAAAGTTTATTGTATGTGTAGAAGCCCTATAAAGGGTTAAGTGTTAAAGGGTTTATAAAATACCGCTTCACAATGCCATGCTTACCTGTTCCGGAGCTTCCCAATCGAGCAGCGGGTCAGAAGCTGCAGCGATGTGTGTGGGTCAATTTGTATAAAGTTGCACCGATGTGATAACTGCGCGACTCTAAGTACCGAATCAATCGGCACGAATGAACAGGGTCTGTAGGTGCTCCAAAATGATGCTAACCAATAGTGTTAGTGCCCTGGCTATATAAAGCCAGGGCTTTCTGTAGCACGTTGCCCTGTTGTGGTTCTTGATTACCCAAGAGTGTGTTTTATTGTATTTTGGATTCCTTGTTACGGACTCTGGCTTGTTTATTCGTCTATCCGCTCTCTGTGTTCCTGACTTTGGCTTGCTTCTCGTTTAGGCTGTTTTCTCCTACGCTTGAACTCGGCTTTCTCTCTGACTACTCTTTATGTTAAATCCAGAGAATCTGAGGCCCAGTAATACGTGATAATTATCTCTCCGGCAGATTAGGGTTTGTGAGTGTTGGGTTCTCCTATCTAGCTGTGACACACACACTCCATCTACTACACACAAACACTACATCCACTACACACACTGCATCCATTACACAAACATACAATCTCCGTTCACTAAACAAACACACACTCTGCATTCACTATACACACTACATCCACTTTACACACACACCACATCTACTACACATGCACACTGCATCCACTATACATACCCTCATTATAAACTACACACACTCTCTGCATCCACTACACACACACACTGTATGCACTACACACACACTGTATCCTTGTGGAGGACTCTGGATGGGTCCTGTGGACGGATTTGGGGGAGGTTGCATGGGGCCCAGACCTTAAACTGTGTTAGGGGACCCAAAATTTTTGATGGCAGCCCTGGAGCCACAAATCACGTACTAATGTCTAAAAAGCCACGAAGCTTGGTATACGATTTTGAAGGCACAATAGATATTTAACCCAATACTAAGAATATGGCCAGAAAGGAGGGGAGAGATAACAATGGACACAATTGAAGATACTATTGCAATACAAATGAAAAAACTGAGATGCCACCTGGGCCCATGAGTAAGATAAGTGGAACAGCCAGCATGTATTTACATTTTGTAATTTACTTTGTATTCCTAGTAATCACCTTAGTGAATTACCCTGTATGTTAAAATCTACTGATACTCGAGTTATTAGAGGCCAAAATGTCCCTTTGGCCAACATACAAAATGGAAGATGGAGCTATTTCTCCTTTGTATGTGCTGCTTTTCCGGTGAGTGCTGCCTTTTACATTATTTGCTTTACTAGAAGTTAGATAGAAATCTAAAGCACGGTGCTTTGCTTCCGCATAGTTCATGAACCGCTGCTTTATATTTTCTGTAGATATTTGTTCAAGGATTATGGTTCCCCATGTTTGTTCCAAGTTGAATACAATGCTGATGTCACCAAATTCCAAAACAAATTCTGAAAAATAGGTGTGCTTCACTTATATGCTCCACCCAAACTATTAGGAGCAGTAGATATTGTGTAAAAAAGGGTGGTTTAGGTATTTTGTGGTTTGAATGTTCTAGCAACAAATGTGAGCATGGTTCGAAAACTTGCTGGAGAAAGCCAATGTAAATAGACAATTAGTACCAATAAATACTAAAAGGATTATTCACTAAGATACCAATGGCCACGTACTGTATGGGCCAAAACCATTCACTGCAGTACAGAGCCATTCAGGCTACAAAATCCAGACATTACTCACATTATGGAACAATGTCTGGATTTTGCTGAGAAGGTTCCAAATGCAAGTACATTTGCATGTGCAGGTGCAGGTGTCAGGATCAGTCAGAGGACCCTTATCAAATGAATAGCCAGCAATCCTGACAAGGCAAACAATGAAAGACAAAATAGGTGTATTTCTGGACCTTAGAATGGCCAGACTTAATGCAAAGCAGGAACCAGGAAAAAAAGCAGGACTAAACTAGAGAAATACTTCAGGCCAGAGGGGAACACAATAAAAGAATAACAGAACGGCAATACGAGCACACCAAAGTGAAAACTCGGCATTCCTGTTCTAAGGTCCGTGTGAAGCATTGGTTTTGGAGCCATCAAGTGGGAAATATTTGCAAGATTTTATAGGACTTAAAATTTCTACTCTTCTAATAGCCATTATTGAGTAGAAATTCCATCATGACGGGATTGCCCTGGATACCCTCCGTTTGAGAGGATTCTCAGTGCTATCTCATATCTGCAACATCACAAATGGGGCTACATCAGGAACCCTTGTCAAACATCTTCTGATTCCCACCAATGACATGATTACAGTGTCTGATGGGAACTACAAAGGTTTTACAAAGGAATTGGGCACAAGCAGTGTGATGCTCTGCAGGAATTGTAGAAATGTGCTGTTTAGCCCTGATAGTACAATGCAAAGAATACTTTAAAGACTGCAACCAAGAGACTGCACTCATAGACCTCCGACCTCTCATTCATCCCTTATGTCCAGTCGATCGCCAAATCTTGCCGCTTCCATTTTAAAAACATAGCTCGCATCTGCCCCTATTTAACACTAGACGCAGCTAAGGTGCTGATCCATGCCGTTGTTCTTTCTCGCCTTGACTACTGCAATCCCCTTCTCAGTGGTCTTACGTGTTCCCAGATTGCACCGCTGCAATCTATAATGAATGCGGTGGCGAGGCTCATTTTCCTGTCCGCTTTCACCTCCCACACCTCCCCGCTCTGTCAGTCCCTACATTGGCTTCCAGTTAGATATAGGGCTCATTTTAAGATTCTGGTACTTGCTTACAAGTCCCTACATAATGCTGCTCCAACCTATCTATCCTCCCTAATACACAAGTATGTCCTGTGGAGGCCCCTGCGCTCTGCCGAAGACCTACGTCTATCCTCTGTCCGTACTCCTACATCTGATACTCGCCTCCAAGACTTCTCAAGGGCTGCACCTTTTCTGTGTAACTCCCTTCCCTGTTAGACTTTCACCCAGTCTCCACTTCTTCAAAAAATCTTGAAAACACACTTCTTCAGGAAAGCGTATCATTTAAACTGTTAGCGGGTTTTCATCCAACCCATGACTCCTCTCCTGCAACTGTCAAAAATAACCTACTAAGTTCTCAGTGAATACTTTTGTAGCAACCTATTTCATTACCCCTAATAATACCCTTTTTGTGTCACTATACCCAGGGCCGTCTTTAATAACGAATGGACCCTGGGCAAGTGTTTGCTTGGGCCCCCTGTGCCCTGCCGCTCTCGCCCCTCACTCCCTGGTATGCAATCACGGCATCCATCCCAACGCAGTGGCGGTACTAAAGTAGAATTAATTTTATTGGGACCCCCAATTGCAAGGTTGGACTAAAGGTAGAACCCCATCTGTCGTGCAACTCCAACAATGCTTTGACAGCTGGGACTCTACCAATTTCCCATGCTTGCAGGGTTGTATTTAGCACTGAGCCATGTTAGTATGTTTGAATGTAAGCATGTGTTTGTATGGAGTATGTTTGTGTGAATGTGTTTGTATGTGGTACTGGAGTTTGAATGCAAGTGTGCATTTATGTGTAGTGTTTGTTTTTGAATGTAGGAGTGTGCTTGTATGTAGTGTTGACGTTTCAATGCAGGAGTGTGTTTTATATGTAGTGTTGAAGTTTGAATGGAGGGGTGTATTTGTATTTAAAGTTGCGGCTCAGATGCACAGGTACACACTCTGACGCACAAGCAGATACACACACTGACTACATACAGATAAACAGGCACATACACTGACAGACACACTGACACAGGTACATATATTGACACACACACAGACACATACACTGGTAGACGTACTGACAGACATACTGACACAGGCACATATACAGACATACTGACACACAGACACATATACCGACATACTGACACACACACACAGACACATACACTGATCAACATACTGACACACATACACTGACAGAAATACTGACACCCACACACTGACAGATATACTGACACCCACATACACTGAGAAATACTGACACACACACACAGGCACATACACTGACACACACAGACTGATATACTGACACACACACACACAGACATACTGGCACACAGACAGATATACTGACACATGCATACACATGCACTAACAGACATACTGACGCACTGACAGACATACTGACACATACACATACTGACACACACAGATATACACACACACATATATACTGACACACACACATATACACACACACAGACATGCTGACACACACACAGACATGCTGACACACACACATACTGACACACACACATACACTAACACACAAACACATACACTAACACACAAACACACACACTAACACACAAACACACACACTAACACACATACACAAACACTAACACACACACACACACACACACACACACACACACACACACTAACACACATACACACACACTAACACACATACACAAACACTAACACACATACACAAACACACATACACAAACACACACACTAACACACATACACACACACATAAACACACAAACACACACACTAACACACATACACTAACACACACAAACACTCATACATACACTAACACACACATACACTAACACACAAACACTAACACACACACATACACTAACACACAAACACACACACACTAACACACACACACTAACACACATACACTAACACACATACACATACACACAAACACACATTTAAAAAAAAAAAATGTAATCCCCCCAGCCTCCTTACCTTTTGGAGTGCTGGGGGGATTCCCTGGGGTCCAGTGGTGCTGCTGGGCTCCTGGGCGGGTGGCCGGTCGGGCAGGCAGCAGGGCGCGCGAGGGAGCACTCAGTGCTTCCTCTTCAGCTCCCTCGCGCGCCGCGTAGGGATGCCGGCGCCGGAAGATGACGTCATCTTCTGGCTCCGGCATCAGTGCGGTGCGCGAGGGAGCTTAAGAGGAAGCACTGAGTGCTCCCTCGCGCGCCCTGCTGCCTGCCCGACCGGCCACCCGCCCGCCGGGGTCAGCGGGGCCCACGGGGCAGGTGCCTCGGGCCCCCCAAGAGAAACTGGGCCCGGGGCAGCTGCCCCGTTTGCCCCGCGTTAAAGACGGCCCTGACTATACCACACTCCCTCCAGCATGTAAGCTCATTAATCCTATGCGTGCATTTGTCTGGTTACAATTATGTGTCTGTTTGTCCACCCATTGTACAGCGCTGCAGAATTTTCTGGCGCTATAAAAAATAATAAAATAATAATATTAATAATAGAGAAGCATTATATTCAATGCTTGTGAAACATTGGATTAACATATAACAACAAATGCTACATATGTCCTCACTTGTCCTCAAATGCTACATATGTCCTCGTCTCTATGAGACGTATCTGATTGAACAAGTATCATCATGAATGATGATTTCAACCATGTGAGTTTTGGGCTCCAGAGGATAGTATGTTCTAGCTCTTTAAATAAAAATAAGTTGAATTTGTTTTGCAACTTTTTTTTTTAATAAA